CCCCCTGCCTCCGCCCGCCCCTCTCCGACCCCGGGCTCCGGGTCCCCTGTATCCCCCGGCCCGGGCACCGGACAGGGCCCCCTGCCTCCGCCCGCCCCTCTCCGACCCCGGGCTCCGGGTCCCCTGTATCCCCCGGCCCGGGCACCGGACAGGGCCCCCTGCCTCCGCCCCCTCCGCCCCCCATCTCAGGCTCAGGTTGTGGTTGTTCATGGTGGGGTCACTTGCCCTAGAGCGGTGCGAGCAGGGTGCAGAGAGCAGACCCCGAACCCAGAGGGGACCAGAAACCCTGTGCCCGAGTCCCACCTGCCCGGTGCTTAGTGATGGGCCCTGCCCTGGGCTGTGCACTCGCACTGATGCGAACACTTCCTCCCCCAACTCCTCAGGTGAGCGTCGGCTCCTCGGTGCTGAAAGCGGCAGCCCATCACTATGGCTCGCAGTGCGACAAGCCCAACAAGGAGTTCATGCTGTGCCGCTGGGAGGAGAAGGACCCCCGGAAATGCCTAAAGGAAGGGAAGCAAGTCAATCAATGTGCACTGGAGTTTTTCAGGTAAGAATCTCAGGTGGCTTTTCAAATCCAGTTTTAGGGCTGGATCCTGCCGATCTTATTTAGGCAAAACTCACATTGAAGTCAGTGAGATTTTTACTTGGGCGTAGCCTGTAGCATATGCGGTCCCTATCGAAAACAAGATTAAAGTGTTAAAATTAAATATATATTTCATGCTTCAGCACTTTGACACAGTACGCCCACTTTATTTTTAATTAGTGTTTCAAAAGAGTATGATGATGAAGTGAGCATGTGCTGTATGTTGCTACCTGTCTGCTTAAGGTATTTACATAGGAGGAGAGAATCTGTCCTGAAGTGTCAGCCGGCATAGCTTCTACCGGTGTGGTGCCTTTTACACAAGCATTACAATAACAACTTTCTTAAGTTATAGCTGAGCTGATCATGCTATTTTTAAACTTTTGTTGAGGTGTTGTTGCTGTTCCCTTGACTTGAACTTCTGAGGGTTGGAGGCAGTGCTTCCTCAGTGGAGAGTGTCAGTGGACACTCTGCTAGTTGGAAGGCAAACTATTCAGTAGTTTTCAGTTGTTCAAAAAAACAGTGACCCACACTCTTTCTGTTCTATTGCCTTCTATTGCTTGGGCACAGCCACAAGGCAAGTTGGCTTTGTTTGAAAGTCTGAAGATGATGATCAGGAGTATCTGGGCTTCAGTAACTTGAGACTATACTTTTAAAAATGTCAGACTTGTTATGTGAGTTGCTTTCCCCATCCTTTGTCATCTTGGGCCACAATGATGCAAACATTTAAATAAGTACAAAACTTTCCTCACATGACTGAAATCATGTGCATAGAAATGTTTGGAGGATCATAGTCTTAGAGGCAGAGCACCTCTTTGTATGTGTTTGTATAGCACCCAGCAAGGTGAGGCCTGATCGTGATTGAGGCCCTTAGGTGCTATTACACTATAAATATTAATAATAGATAAGGCTATGTTTTAATCATGGGTATTTTTAGTAAAAACCATTAAGAGGTCACAGGTCGTAAACAAAAATTCACAGGCCTGTGACCTGTCCATGACTTTTACTAAAAATACCCACCCTGACTAAAATTTGGGTGAGGGGCCATGGGTGCTCGGGGAGGGGGGGGCGCAGTCCGTGGGTGCTGGGGGATGTGGCTTGGGACCCCCGCTGGCATTGGTGGGGAGGGGGGGCCACGGGCTGGCAGGGGCTTCCTACCCAGCAACGTGTCCCTGCAGCTACTAGGTGGCAGGGGCCAGAGCAGGGGCTCTGCTGCTCCCGCCACAAGCGCTGGCTGCCACATTGTCCGGGAACTGCAGCCAATGGGAGCTGCGGGGATGGGGCCTGTGGGCGTGGGCAGTGTGCAACGCGGAGCCCCCCTGGGTGCCTATGAGCTGCAAGGGGGGCCATGCCAGTGGGAGCCACCCGGGGAGCTCCCCATCCCTAGGTAAGCACATTCCCCAACCCCCTGCCCCTAACCCCCTCCCACACGCCCAAACTGCTGCTGCTGGCCCAGGGGCTGCCCGGGTTGGGCAGCCCCTGAGACATCACCAGCCATTGCCAAAGTCACGGAGGTCACAGAATCTGTGACCTCCATGACAGACTCGCAACCTTAATAATAGAGCATGTGTCTTGCTAAGCTTAAAAAAAAATCAAAGTTGGAAGCAGTGAAATATCATGAAAAGAGCATTCACATTACATAATTAAAATAAGCATGCACTAAGTGAGAGGTCAGAATGGTGTCTGAAAGCTGACTGAGCTTAACAATCATATTAATAATTGTATTGTAGTTACCTTGTATTGAGATCAGTGTGGAATTATGAAGTCATATGCTTAGACTGTAAGCTCTTCTTGACAGGGAGTAGTAGTATGAAATGTACTGTGAAATGCCATGCATATGTGTTGTCATTTTTTTTATTTATTACTAATCTTTCTTTTATCTATTACTTTCAAAATAACCAGACTTTACAATTTTATGAATACCATCCAGAAAATAAACTTTGTAAATAACTACTGAATAGCAACCATTTGGAAATTGGTTCATGTGTTTTGGGCTGGAGTGAATGGGAGAGTGCCAGCTTTGCTAATCTAGCTCTTATAAGCTACCTTGTCTTTTCCAAATAACACAGTTAAAATCCTTTGTTTTATAGGAAAATTAAGGCACACTGTGCAGAACCTTTTACTGAGTACTGGACTTGTATTGATTATACCAACCTTCAAGAGCTTCGTCGTTGCCGAAAACAGCAGCTGGCATTTGATAATTGTGTGCTGGAGAACTTGGGCTGGGTGAGACCTGATCTGGGAGAGCTGTCGAAGGTAATTAGGAAATCCTGCCCCATGTCTTCATCTCCTTTCTCACTGGTTATTTCAGCTCCCTTCTCTCTGACCTCCTAAAGTCCCTGTTCCCCAGCGTGTGCAGAGTGCTGCTGGCTTTCTGATGTTAACAGAGACACACAAGTTCATCACCTTATCTAGCCAGGTCCTATATGGTCCCCTTTATTGTAGTCTTGAAGTGCATCTACTGCTTCTCATCTATTTGAGAAACTAGTTCAGAATTGTGCTGCCGGGTTTTGAAAGCATCCTGTGTACGTGTTCCAGTTTGCCTCGCATCTTGTTACTCTTCACGCATAATAGCTGAAACTACTTTTAACTGTTTTTAAACTGACTAGATTTCCAAGTGATGATGTGTGTTGCTTTAACACAGTCTCAGCACTTGTCATCTGGAATAACCCCCCTGTATTTCTCCATCTCATTTCAATTCTAGTCTGAAATATATCTTTCTGTTGCATATGCCTCATCTTTTTCTATCTACTATTTTTAACTAGCTGTTATGTTTAGTTCTGTAAAGCATTTTAGGATACTCTGTGTGAATGTTGGGTTGCAATAAATACAGCGCAGAGTTCATAACTTCTCCACTATAACAGTGGATTTATTTCAGGTTTGCTAGGTGTAGCAAGGGACTGGACTGGACACCCCAAGAGGCCATGTCCGGTTCTAGGTCCCTATGTAGCTTTCATATTGTCTTGAATTCAGCTTTCCTTTCTCATGTACCAGTGTTCCATTTGTCAGTTCAGTCTATTGGAAAAATGTTCCAGTGTACTGTATGACACTCTTTCAGCTCTTCCTTATGCGGATGGCCAGATTCTTCAGGCTGTTTTATTAACGTTCCCCTCGCATGCTACATCTCAAATTACCACTTCTACTGCAATGGAAGTGGCAAGTTATTGATGAACTCTCAACCTTCTGCTGAAGTCTGTGGCAGAATTGTAGAGGCCCTTTAAGCACACTCTGGGGTGGGGAATCTTTTATTATGAACTCTTTTTCCTACCGTGTGTGCTTGCTTTGGTGAGAGGTTCTTTTCTTGATCTGTTACTAATAATACTTGAGTGCTCGTAAGCTTAAAAACAAAATGCTGACAGCGGAACTCAGTAAATTTTCAATTGATTACATTTTTAATAAGTTAAAAAAACAGAATGGCACAAAATAAATTGCTGCCATAGATGTGGGGAAAAATGTTTGGTGGGGATGATTCTCTGTAGTGTGCGCACTACTGTTCCATTGATTTGCTTATGCTGGTTCTTTTGTATATTTGACATTGGACTGGAGGAAAGGATGTGCTGGGTTTGAAGTGGACACTTCTACTAAACATTTGATATTAATTTTGTTGTGTGGATAATCCTTTAAGAATTGCCTTCAAAAATACAAGTTTAGGCAACACTGAGCATCTGTTTTTTTCTGTGCTTAATTTTTGAGACAGTTCAGGTGCTTAACCTCAAACAGCTAAAACAGGAACTTCTTGTGCATACTTTTGCACACTTGTGTATACTTTTACTTTATTTGCAAAGTAGCAGCTTTCAAAGGTGCTGAGGTTTTGGCCCACTGTTGACAAGACCAATTCTTATCTCGCATGCATGGAGCGCCACTGAAGTCAGGGGGGGTTGTATTGGGTGTAAATGGGAGCTAGACTTTAAATTAGAAACTTGCCTTGAAGGAAGTGTTTCAG